CCAGAAGTGAGAGTAATGCATTAGTACTGGTGTTTGTAGCACGTTTGCTTAGAGCTGGTTAAGGGTTTTAAAAACCCCAAAACTAAAAAGAAAAAAACACTTTGCTTAGTGGGAAAATCTGTATCTGTTGAGTCAGAGCACTTGGTTCCTCAAGTTACGCCAGGCATCCTGGCGGCGCATGCTGGGGCTGTGGGCATGCTGGGGCTGTGGGCATGCTGGGCTGGGCTGGCAGCACCCTGAGCAGCAATTTCTGGTGTGAGTGGGGGAAATGCATTGATGAGATGACTTCTGCATTGATTGCTTTGTTTGTTGAGATTCAGAGCAAGCTTGCAAGACATGTAACGTTTTGGTGAGCCGCACTGGTTTGGCAATGTGCTTTTGGAAGGATTGGGAAGAATGTGAGTATTTTCAGCATGAATGTGGATCATGCTGTGTCATCTCAGCTCTGTGCTGTAAAGCTAGAGGATCGTGAGCAATTCTTCCAGTCCCAACAATGTGTCATGAAGAATCCCTTGTGATGATAGCGCACGCTCTGTAACCTCTTAGCTATTGTCTTTTTTCCTTGTGATTTTTCCAACAGTGCTGGCAGCAGGAAGAGGCCAGGAGGACAGAGCCAGGGGTGGCTGGTGCTGAAAGCAAGTTTGATGGTCTGGAAGAGCAGTGAGCACTAGGAGTCAGTGTGAAGTTTTGTTCAGAACAGCCATTTTTCAGTTGTTCTGCTCTTCCCAGTGTTTTTCAGATTTATTTTTAATGATATTTCTAAAATGGTCCAACAGCAGCGCATAGCATCTTATATCTGTAATAGGCTCATGTCTGATCTTCACCCTGAAACTCTGCTCCATTTTCTGCTTCCTATGAAAACCTAAAGCTGAGCTCCCATGGCTCGCTAACCAATATGTACGTGTCCTTTTGTCGTTATCCTGCAGTCCTAGTTTGCTTCAGAGGACTTGGGTAGCAGCTGTTTGTGTGTTTTAAACCCTTACCTAAGGCAAGGGGAGACTGGAAGAATGGGGAATGGAAACTAGTAAAACAAGTAATTTATTGTGTGCTGGGGAGTATAACACAGCAGTAGCAGATGCACACAGCTGGCTTGGTCCCATCAACCCTGGATTCTCTTCCCACAGCAGCCCAGCACAATCTGCTGGTGTATCTACAGCAGTGTCCAAGACCAGGGCAGCTTGAATGCACACTGGTTCCTTGCACTCAGTGCCACCCCCTGCCCAGTTGCTTTCAGTCCTGTGTGCTGTGATCACTCGGTGCTGGAGGTATTCTGATCTCATGTCTAAGAGATGGGGTGATGTTGTTCTGTGCCAAGAACAAAAAAGAATGTTGGTTTTACAGGTTTCTTTACTGAGGGCTGTGTGATGCTGTACAGTGACAGGATGCTGTGCTGCATGCAGGTACTGGGAACCAGAGAAGAGTTAACCTGCAAATAAGGAACAGGCAGAACCTGTGAGCTCTGTTGCCTCAAAGATGAGAGTCCTAAGTATGTGGAGAAGAGTTTTATGTCTGTGAGTGTGTGTTGGAGCCAGCCCTTCTCCTACCTCGTTGGTGCAGGGCAAACAACTGGTGCAAATGAAGTTGGTGGGTGATGTACGTTGGGTGGTGTTGGTTTATTTTAGAGATGTTAAACGTTGAAGTGGTACAGAGTGTTTCCTAGCATAATTAGTACCTCTCATCTGCTGTGCAGGTAGATGTCTGAACATCAGATAAAAGCCAGTGGGAGCAGTGTGGGCGTTCTGTAGCTCTGCAGAAAGGAGGCGGATGGATGGTATTCCCCCTCCTGCCCCCATCAGCAAGATCTGTCATAGTGAAACTGGGGTGTCCAATTCTCAGTATTCATGCTTTGAAAACGAAGACTGTTTTCACTACAGTTCCTGTCCCTGAGTTACTGAAGCTGGGGTGGGATAGACAAGATTACCTGGGAGGGTGTTCCTTTCTGCAGAGGATGTGGAGCCATGTGGGGCTGTGTTTGAAGAGGTGACAAGTGAGAAGCAACCTCTGACATCGTAGGGAGTCAAACAGAGTTAGTTCTTTTCCCTAGGGCAGAAATATCTACCTGATTCTTACACATACGTGGACAAATTTGAGTGGTGAGCGCACAAAGTTATCAGTAAACAGAACTTAAGCTTTGGGAGGCAAAATATACATCTGCTTTCCACTTTCTTCTTGTGATACTTTGCAATTCCATACGGAGTTGCCTTTAGTTCTCAGCAGTACCTTATTTGATGTCACTGCCACCCCCCGTGCTGTGTGTGAAATGTGAGTGCTTGCATTAAAGATGTTGTGGTATCTAAAATCAGGTTAAGGCAGCATGGCTGGGTTGCAGTACACACATGTTGCATGCTCAGAACTTTGTCATGTGTGACCTGTGTTTTGATATTGCTTTCTTGTGTGATAAATGTAGTGGCTTTTTTGTTCTGCTTTTTGCTAAAGCATTTATAGGATGTCATTTCCAGCCTCTTGCAATCAAAATGTTTTTCTCTTGCTTCCCCTTTATCTTGAGGGTCTCTTTAAATTACTGATCCTGAATCAAATTTCCTTTTGCTGCCCAGTTCTATTGCTTTTGCTGTTCAGCTCGTCTTGGTTTTGGTTGAGGTAAATAAAAGCTTATTCTTGCTAGGTTTTTGGCCTTGACATTTGCCTGAATTGTAGGCAGTGTAGGGCTGCCTGCTGACAGGAGGAGCTTTTTGACCTCAGCTGCTTTGCAAAGCTACTGGGATGCTCCCTAAGCCGTATGGTGAAACAGAGCAGGGTGTAAATTTGTCTCCAAACTAAGCCACCACAGAGCTACAGCTGCTTGTCAGGTATGCTGCTTTTTTCCCAGCATGATTTGCTTACAGAGGGTGGCACAGTGCTGCTAACAGTGACAGCACTCCGGACCTCAAAGCTGCATAGGATGGAGTCCAGAATTTGCACTTGAAAATGCAGTCATTTGGTCTCCTACCTCGACACCTCTTGTTGGCACAAGCAAGCAGATTTTTGCTTACAGTACTGCTGCTGCATTTCCTTTTTTTCTTTTTTTTCTTTTTTTTTTTTTAATCCAGCTGTCTTTGAAAAGTTGTTTGGTGTGCACAGGAAGGCTAAAATGACCTTGTGTAAACCACCAAAGGACAGCATAGAAGTGTAGTGCCAAGGTGATGACTGCTCAGATTGCTATGAATTTTATGCCCAACATTTATTAAGTAGGGATGGAATATTGAAGGTAGTGGGAGTTTGTTTAGGATTGCTTCGTGTACAGCTAAAATAACTGATGTTTAGTTCTGACTTAAAGCTTACTGACCTGTAGAGGACATGTAGTTCTTGTAGGTTTGTTTGTGTTTGGTCCTCTTAACATTTGGATGTCTGACGGCTGTTTTTTCTCTTTCTTTTTAATTGCTCCTTACCATTTCAGCAATAGTGCTCCATAACACAGTGCTTTTCTTTTTTCTCTCAAAGTGGCATTACTGGGCGTATTTTGAGTTTAGGGAGGATTATTATTTAATCACTTTAAAGTGCTTTGTTGAACTTGTAATGCTTGTGCTCCATGTTATAAACTTGACTCTTCATTTTGCCGTGAGAATCATTCTGCTGCCTAAATGGAGAGGAGAAAATACAGCTTCTTGGCCTTGAGCTTCTGTCCTCAGAGTTTGTGTTTAATTATATACATTGGGCAGACTATTTCTTGCAAATCCATTTAACGGAAGACGACCTTGTCATTAAATTTGGTCTTTCTAATTAAAACAAACAGATCACAACAAAACCAAAACGAAGCATATCCTTATTTTGAGGTTAAATTGGAGAATGTAGCATGTTAACAAATCTTTATTTAAAACTAGGTGTGAAATTAGGAAATGTTGGATTTGCTGCCCTTGAACCTGGCTTTTCCCTTGAGGCACAACTCATTGTGTAGCTGCTGTTACCAGACAGGATCATTGAGGGATTCACTCACAGTTTTTTGTGGTTGCTCACTTCCAGCAGTTTCCTCCCAGGTTTTGGGTGGAGAAGCACTCCCTGTTGGTAGAGAGCTTGTTCTGAACAACAGAGCAAGTGATTTGAAGCATTGGAATGGCTGGTTAGGGTGTAACATGTGTTCTGATGGCTCACATAACATTTCTGGTGTGATGCGTGTAGACGCAGCATGCGGTGCTGTGCTGCAGCATTTTTGCTGCTGGTGGCTCTGAGGATTCCTCATACGGAACAGCTCTGGAGGTTTGGAATCCTCTGTGCTCTTTGAGCTGAGCTACTCAAAGCATTCACCTTCACATCCTTGCCCTGAGAGCCCTTTGGGCAGGGAGAGCTGCAGGTGAGCAGACCCAGACCGTGGCATCTCTGGGAGTTTTCCTGATGCTTCAGTTCCTGCGGTTTGTTAGTTGTGCATTTTTGTTAATTTATTAGTTTTGCTTATGTTACTTTGTTGTTCTGAAGGGAAGAAGATCTAGCACAGGCCTGAGAATTCAGCTGAGACAGTGATCTTCTCATCTCCTCCCTTTTTATTCTGTTCTTAAATTGGTTTATGACTCCTAGCTTGTTGTCTTTTTGCCATCTACCCAATCCATAGCATGTTCTAGAAATTAGCAGTGGGATGTAACTGTTCAAAAAAAAAACAGGAAAATCCTGTCCTTTTAGGCTCTTGCACAACATGGAGTAGAGAGCAGTGGTTCCTGCTGAGCATGGTGCACCAGGGAGGAGATAACCTGGGAGCAGCAGCAGCGGGGCAGTAGCAGTCCTTGTAGGAGTCTTTTCTTGTACTCTTGATTTCTTGGAGGAAGAGTGAAAAGAAGCTGGCAGTATCACATTGTATATTTCCATATGTTTTACATCAGGTTCTGCAGCTGTGGGTTAGGTGAATGTAGCATGTAAGTGATGCATCATGTTCATTAATGAGGAATACAGTCTTTTTTTGCTTTTTTTTCTTTTTGTTTTTGTTAGGAAGGGGGATTAATGACAACTCGCAGTTGATTCAAGCTTGTTGCAAAACCGAGACTTAAAAAACTTTTCTTTGTTGTTTTATCTCACAGGCTGGATGGAAAGAAAATCATGCAACATTTATGAATGAACTGAAAAATCTGCAGGCGTCAGGACTGACAACCCTTGGTCAGGCACTCAGATCATCTTTTGACTTGTTAAATCTCAATAGATTAGTGTCTGGAATAGACAACTATGGACAGGTAACAAATCTGTCTCTAGTCTTCCTTTTTCTCTGTGTGCTTCTAAATCATGCTAGGGAGGGGTTTTGATGGTTTAAGTATATCTTTGTGAGTTTTTTTTTTTTTCCCTATTTTTCAATATTCTGTTGGATAATTATATGTTAAAGCTTGACAGATTTGATTTTCTTTCTTACTGCATGTTCTGATCATACCATGAGATACCACGATAATATCATTTTTTTTTCTTCTGGAACTTCAAAGTAGTAGTGTAAATAACTCAATCTGTAGTGGGCAGTTGCTGCTTTAGAACCTGTACACTGGGTGGCAGCAAATTTTATTTTCAGTTTTATTTTATCAGTAGTTACCATTCTGTCTTTCTCCTTTCTCGCATTTGGAAGATTCAGTTAAAAATACTCAGTTTTTGCCCCGCTGTCATCGTGCAATGATGACTTCACTGAGTTATTATGAATTTATATCATGCTTCTGTGGAACAGAAAAGTTTGAAGTTATTACTGGAAGAAAAGGACGAGTAATTCTAAAAATGTGTTTAGTGAGTGTCTGTGCACATGCAGTTTGTGCATCCAGCTCTGCATGGCTCCATGCCTGCTGGAAGAGAACTTCTGGTTTGATGAATCGTTCATCTTATTGCTTATTTCACGATGACAAAAATATTAGTCTACACCTGAATGTCCTGTGCTTTTGTTTCTAGGGAAGGAATCCATTTTTTCTTGAGCCATCTATTTTGATTACCATCACAGATGGAAACAAACTGACGAACACGGCTGGAGTTCAGGAGGAGGTAAACTGACATTAAATTCTTTCAAGTTATGATCTTACAAGTTGGTGCTGTGTTGAGGTGAATATTTCTTGTGCTTTTATTGCTGCAAAAAGTGCTTCTGTTCCATCAGCTTGTTCTGCATAGCAGGGAAGCTGGATTGCTGTCATTGCTCAGCCCTCAATTTCATAGCCCATGTGGATTTCCAGACTGTAACTTCAGATAAACTAGCGGATAGAAGAGAAATGGGGTCCTTTACAGAGGAATAGGTGTTACGTTTTCAGATGGCTTGTCAAATATTGAAAACTTTCTTAAATCTTTCTTTACCAGCTTCATCTTCCTTTGAATTCTCCTTTGCCTGGAAGTGAACTAACCAAAGAACCATTTCGTTGGGATCAAAGACTGTTTGCTCTAGTGCTGCGTTTGCCAGGAGCTGCATCTGTTGAACCAGAGCAGCTTGGGAGTGTGCCTACTGATGAATCTGCTATCACACAGATGTGCGAAGTTACAGGAGGTACCTGGATATTACTTTGCTCTGATTTACATTTGGCATTTGCTTTAAAACGTGTATTGGATTCATTTTTGCTTTAGCTTTTCTCTCACTCACAATTACTCAGTGTCTGCCCGAGTCTTTGTGGTTCTCTTTGAGCTTAGTTTCCTGCAGCATGGGAGAACTTTCTTTGTCACGTTCCAGTTTCAGATGTACTGGGTGTGGGAGTGTTTTCTCAGTGCACCAGTGTAGGAAGGATTGAAAATTTCTTAGATTGTCCTTCCAGGGGTTGGCTATGCTCACTCATGAGGTTGTTATTTACAAGCATAAATGTTGAGTTGTGAGGAAGAGATGTTACTTAAAGGGATGTTAATTCTGCTGAACGGCTGATAAACTAATATTGAACCTTAAAATAATTAATTTTGGGCTTTGTTCTTCAAGATCTTCCTCAGAATTTTTGTTAAATTGGTTCTTGACAAAATGTTGCATGGGAGGGGAGGTTTGGGTTTGTGTTGGTGTTGGTTAGATTTCAGTAGACAAATTGTACAGACTTTGTGAAATCAGAATTTGTTGAGGGCCTTGTAAACTTGGTCTTATTCCAGCCTGATTTAGCCTTAATGGCTTTTCTTATGAAGAATTAAAAGCTGAGCTGTTTTTTCTTCCTTTGGTTTTATTGTACTTGTAAAGCATTTTGCATCAGTTTCTACTAAGCTTGCTGCTGTTATGTTTGATAAAGCTGAAAGCCTTGGCAGTGTGACTTCATATAACAAAATATCTTCCTTAATTTACACAGGGAGAATAGGAAAGCTTTGAGTGATCTTAATGTTCTCTTGTAGGTCGTTCTTACTGTGTTCGGACACAAAGAATGTTGAACCAGTGTTTAGAATCTCTAGTTCAAAAAGTCCAAAGTGGAGTTGTTATTAACTTTGAAAAGTCAGGACCAGATCCAGCTCCTATTGGAGAAGGTACAGTAACTGTTTTTTTCTACTAATGTTTTTTAAAAAGTGTTCTGTGTGCATGCAAATGTCCTTAAGTGTCTTCAGTTTCCTGCTAACTTTTCACTGCTGTGTACAGGATTTCTCAGAGGCCTAATATAATCTAAAAAAAACGGATTAAACTGTAAAGTTTCAGTGGGCGAGCTCTGGTTCCTCTTTAAATATTCCAGATCACAGTGGATGCACTTTCTATAACTTTTGAGTTGTGTTTGTTTAGTCTTGTCTTTGCTATATTGTTCCCAGTGTTAGTTTGGTCCTTGGTGGGTTGAACAAGTGCTGTGTGTTTCTATGGATTTGAATGGATAACCTTCCTGCTTGCCAGCTCTCCTGTCACTTTCTTCACCTCTTTTTTTGGAGGCTGAAGGAAGCAACAGAGGGAAGTGAGTATTTAATGAAAGTGCTAAATATTGAATTAGTGCTGTCAAAATTTGTGTATAAATGAAATAAATTCAGGAGTATTTGAGTCATACTGTTAACTGATCACAAACTCTTGAATGTTCCTTGCTGCAAGTGAAGAACTCTGTGCTAAGAACAAGGAATTGATCTGCCAGCTGCAAGTGAAGTGCACAACCAAATAGGAAAATGCATCCTTAACATGGAACAGGCTTTCAGCTTTCAGAATTCATGGCTGGAAAGGAGAGAGCTGTGACCAGTTTGTACTTAGAAAATAAGGGTGTTGCTGGAATGTCAGAAGCATGATAGCTTTTAGGATCCCCAGGGCATCCCAGCGTAGCCTGTTTTTAACTTTGTTTTCATTACTTGTTTTTAATCACTTTTTTCTTGCTTTATACATTTTTTTTTCTCCTTTTGCTTAATAAATATCATTTGATTGGAAGTATGCTCAAGGCTTTCCTGTAGGGCCATGCAGGACAGCACCTCAGCAGATTCTTGGGTCTCTGTTGGCTCGAATGCTCTCCTGTGGCAAAACAGCTGGTGAAATTGCTTTTTTTCCTTTTGTCACATTTTAAGTGGTGATGTACTGTGAATACATATGCATGAAGATACTTATGAGAACTTCTGCCTTTACGTAAATTGAGGAAGTCCTCAACTAGAGAGAAATGTGGTGTTCACCAAAGCTGTAGGGTCACTGTGTATATAGTGCAGAGGAGCAAAAAGTGCTGGCAGACAGAAAGGCACGCTGTGGTTGGCCAGCTGTCGAAAGCAGGTCAGTTTAGTAAACTCAAATAATGCTAAGATTCGTTAGAAAGGTGATCTCTTTTGTGCTGTATGAATTGGAGAGCAGTCTGAGAAACTTCTGAGATGCTGTGCTGCTTCAAAGCTCTTTGCAGTCAGGGTGGAGGGAACTCTGTGCTAGTATGCTACAGCAGGCTGGCAGATAACACTGCTTTTTCCAGGAAGTGGTGGAGATGAAGTGTTCTCTGACTGCTTTCTCATTAAGAATGTGACAAAAGCTGCTCCTGCCAGATGCATTTGGCTTTTCCATGAAACTTTTCTCCACTTTCAGTTTCCATGAGTGGCGACATCAGTCAGTGAGCTTTGCATCCCATGGAGAAAGACTGTAAATGCAAACTGTCTGTCTTTACAGGTGCAGCAGAACTAAAATGAAAGACTTGCTATTGCTTATCAGATGTGTGTCCAAGTACTGATCTTAGACAAATAGCATTTTTCATAATATGAAAGTGCCCTGCTGCACTAATTATCTAATTGTTATGCCACTGGTGTGGAAGGATAGATGGACGAATGTTACCAATTTTTTCTCAGATTATGCTGTTTTACACTTAATGTAGCTTTTTTCAACCACTGATGTAAAGATCTGTGTCTTTGAAAGAGTTGTGATGCAGCACCTTATTGGTTACTAATACAGAAATTTTGCTGGGAGACAAATGCATGCCATGTAGCTTTTTATTTTCTTTTTTTGTTGTTATTTTGCTTTGTTTAAATTTTAGATGGACTTGTTGATTCATCCAGGCCCATCAATTCATTTGCTTCTCAACCGTGGCATAGTTGTCATAAACTCATTTATGTACGGCCTAACCCCAAAACTGGTGTTCCTGTTGGGCATTGGCCAATCCCAGAATCTTTTTGGCCTGATCAGAATTCACCAACACTGGTAAGTCAATAAGAACTGAAAACAAGGATTCTGCACCTAATTAAACGGATTGAAAATGAATACAATTTTTTTTCTTACATTCTCTGTTTGCTAACATGATCTGACTTCACTTTAAAAGGGTAGTTAACATTATTTTTAACACAGAACAATGTCATGGAGATAATCTATGCTGTTACTTTCTATTTGAAAGTTTTACTTCTATATATAGTTGGATACTTTGGTAAAGCTTTGAAAAGATTGTAGAATTGATCTACAAATTACCTTATACACCACAGCTTTTAGTTGGAAGCTTTGTAAAATGCATTTTGGGTGGAACAGGGAGTATTTGTTGTTGATGAGGATAGATTGACCTGTTTATTTTTTTTCTGATTAGCAGTACTTCATGTACGACCTCTTCTTTCTCTACCAGAAAGAACTAAACTGAAATAGAAAAGCTACCCATTCAAAAAATAAGATAAAAACAGCATTAACTTTACCCTTTCCCACTAGGATGATCATGCATTTGGCTTGCCTTACTAGCCTCTCTTGTTAGGCATGATCTGTGTCTGCACTTTGCCAGTGGGCTCAGTGCTGTTTCCTCCCCACCACCCGTGACTCAAGGGGAAAAGAAATCAAACTCAGCAGGGAATATCTTGAGAATATTGTTTGGGAAGTGAGTGGTTTATAACCTGTAATTCTGTGACAACAGCAAGCTGGAAAGCGGAATTGGAAGTTTTCTTCAAACATAACTGTGATAGGGGTTGAACAGCATGGGCACTTCTAAGTATCAAGATAAATGGTTGGATGTTAACCATGTTTTTCTCTTGTTGGGGGAGCAACGTCTGTGTGTTTAAACTGGAGAAATGCTTAATATTCTGTTGTAGGAGCATGTTTCCTTTTTGAAGGAAACTGGAGCAGGAGTGTTCAAGCTGAAAAGATAGTGAAATGTATACTTATGAATTTTGTTCTTTCCCAAAGAATTAATTTGCTTTTAACTGTAAGTACCAGATAACAGATATGTTATATTTCTCCCTTCCTTTTAGCCTCCACGCACAGCTCACCCTGTTGTGAGGTTCTCCTGTGTTGATTGTGAGCCAATGGTAATAGACAAGCTTCCTTTTGACAAGTATGAGCTTGAACCTTCACCCTTAACGCAATACATCTTGGAACGAAAGTCTCCCCATACCTGCTGGCAGGTATTTGCCCTTTATTTGATTCTAGAAACATAATGAGTACCCTAAAGTGACTGTACCTTAGTTTTTGTAGGCCTGGAGGTTTTGGGGCCTGGTGTCAGGCTGCACCTGATTGGAAGAAACTTGTCAAGGTTTCCGTTACCTTCTTTCTAATGAATTATGAAAAGCTAGAGTGAATGTTTCCTCTACAGGTTCTGTAATCTCATTTGATTCTGTTTCTAGGTCCCTTTCATTTTGCTGAGAAATGTGTCCCTCAAGCTCCATTCTTGGCTATCTTGCAATTCTCTATAGGCTTTCATTTGCTTTTGGGAAAACCTGGTGCTCGTTTCCACCGTAGTTTCAGATGTTGATTAGGTAATGATTTCCACTAAGTAGTTGAAACTGCTGGTGGGAGTCGAATGGAAGCTGTTGATTTTAACCAGATTGGCCTTGAAAAGGCCAAAGTTCTGTTGTTGAAATCATTTGTGATTTGGATAAGTGACTTGTTCCTGTATTCTCTAGACAGTAAGGCTTGTAATTCTCTTCTGAGCTGTGTTCTTGGAAGGGCTATCTGAATAGATCCAAGAGGAGCTTGACGAGTAATATCTTAGCTGGAAGGGTGGGACTGGAAGTGTCTTTGTTCTGCTTTTGTTTCCCTAAAACGTGTTACAACTTCACTTAAAGTGTAACATTTTGGAAGTTGGTTTTAATTGAAGAAGTCGAAGTTAATTTTAACAAACTTACTTCAAATGTGGGGTTAAAGCACTCCCAGGTATTTTACTTGCCAAAGTCATCCAGGAAATCTTTTTTGACTAAAACCTTTCTGCTCTTTTTCAAAACCTGCTTTTTCTTCTGCCTGATCAACAGACCCATCTGTGCTCGGGAAATGCTCTCACTGTAGAAAGTGTAGAAGGAACCCCATCCCTTAGGCCACCTCCACTCCCAGTAAAGTTCCTGGAAAAGAAATTGAGAAAAAAATGTCCTTTGGAACTGCAAGATTAGATTTTTCTTAGGCAAATTATTATTGTGTTGCAGATTATTTTGAATGTCCCAGTATGTACCGCCTTCATCCTTTAAAAAATATCTTTGCAAGTATTGCTTTTTCAGGATTAGTGTTCATGTATACTTCAAAGAAGTCAACATTAAGAAAATGGAAATACGACATAATTGAAAGCTGAATATTGAACATTTGTGTTTGTGTGGGCTTGCTACGTTAGTCTGAAAAGTTTCAGGTTTCTTTTTATCAGTGTTCTAAATTGTAGTCATGCTTTTCTATGAGTCAAAGTCATTTCAAGTGTGTTGTTTTTAATATGTCTTTAATAATGGTCCCCTAACCTATTTTAAATAATCTCCCTGCTCAAATTTTACACCTTGAAGAGCATTTCCATACTGGCTGGCATACACTAAATGTTGCATGTCTGCGTTTTGTAGCTGGAGAGTTTAAGTGCATGCTCGTCCTGATGCGTGCCACCTTCAACTTGGCTGTTCTTGATAATGGTTGTCTCATTGCAGTTGAATTCAGACTTCTTTAAATGCTGTATGGTTTGTATTCTTTGTGTTCCTGTAATGCAGTGATATCTTTTCTTTTTCTTCAGGTATTTGTGAGTGGCAGTGGAAAATACAGCGAGCTTGGCCATCCGTTTGGGTATTTAAAAGCAAGCACTACTTTAACCTGTGTAAACCTCTTTGTGATGCCTTACAACTATCCTGTTTTGCTCCCACTGTTAGGTAGGTAACACGCTTACATTGGACTGCAGCTACTTGAGAATAAGAACAAATAATTGAGAAGTGGTTGGTGTTCTGCCTTAGCTTGAGACGTTATAAAGTAACGGAGATTGGAGAGTAGAGAATGTTGCAAACTCTTTAATATTAAATTTGGGAGGAGAGGATTTTCATACCCCCTCTCCCTTTTTTTCTCTCCAGCAGAGGAGGAGAGCTACCTGCTTCCAGTGCATGTTTGATGCTGTTCACCTCCTAGACACGTAGCCTCTTCCTTAACCTGGAGTAAGCTTCAACCTCCATTCTTTTCCCTCATTTAGGGTATGGTGTATCCAGGTTTTTCAGTTGCTCTAGTAGCAGCTCATTTTTTATTTTTTCTGGAGGATCAGATGCAGTGTTATGGGTGTTGGGAAGAGGGAATTCCCTGATGCTGTTTAGAGCTGTAAGAAAGAATAGAGCAGTGAAACAGCCTACAGTTCTTCCCTGCCCAAAGGACCAATGTTTTTCACTCTCACAATGAACTTCCTTTCTACAAGAGAGATGATATGAAAAGGTGCTGTGTGAGTAACTGCCATTACCAATTGTGACTGCTGGGGTTTTGGCATAAGGATAATGGCAGAAAGTTTGTTACTAAGCTTTTTAGTTACAGATATAGGATACTTTAATTCTTTTTCTTTTTTTTTTTTTTTTTTGTGGGTATATGTAGTGATACAAAATAACAGTGGAAATCTAAGAAAGTTAACACAGGTTTGATTCTTAGTATCTTACACAAGATTGTTGCATTTGGTTCTGGAAAACAACTTAGCAATGCTTTTTCCTAGTTGATCTTAATGAAAAAGAAGAGAAATCTGTGCTTGCTGATCAGGTGAATTTGATGATAATGATCCTTGTAGCCTAGCAGCTGTCCCAGAATGTGGAAGTAGGAGGCTTCAAGATTAATTTAGTGTTCTCTGTACGCTGGTGGCTGCTGAGTTACTGCTGTTGGTCCACTCACTGAAAAGTCATCAATGATACCAGAAGAATTTCCCTGCGTGTTAAGTTCAGATCTTGTTCCAGGTTGTTGTTCATCCTTAGCCTCCAAGGCATGGTGGAATTTATGTTCATGGTGGTCCATGATGGAAGGATCTAAATAGTATCACATTCTGTAGGTTTGGTTATTTATGTCTGTTTCTGCAAGAGTGGGTTTTTAGTATGTTCAGCCTGAGGAACACTTCAGAAGGCAGAACGTTTCGCAGAAGGATGCTGAGGTACTTCAGTGCTGAGTGTGTTTGGCTAGCAGGTTACAGAAATTCCCTGTTGAAAGATTGGTTTTGATCACCAAATTCCTAAAGTGAAGGTGAGGGAACAGATGTGGATCGGAGCAGAGGTGAGGTGCTGTGATGCACAAGGTGTTTTGTGACTGATCTCACTCGTGTCTGTGGGAGGTCATGTCTGCCCATGGAGGGCTGCAGAAGCATCAGAGCTCAGGGAGTCAACATGGAGAGGTGCTGTACTTGTCCAGGTGGAATCTAATGTGGGTGGTGATGTTTTCTGGTGTTTTTACTTCGGGTTATGTGGTGTGAGCTGTCACGACTGGACTGTTGTCAGATGAACTGCTCTGGTAATTAGGTTCCAGCTGAACTACTAAAGTTGGATGCTTGTTGACCATTTTCTCTATCTTTCCCTCTCTTTGTTTTTAAACTATTCACTGAGTTTGAAAGTGCATCGAGCACCCTTATGTGGCACTGGATATAAAAGATGTGTATTGATATCTTGTTTGTCTTGATTTGGTGGTTCTCTGTGTTGGTGTAGGGTGGATAAAGGACTTTCGGAGCACGACTTATACTAACTGATATGTATGTAGTTTTACCTGTTCTCTTGGAATTGTTACAGCTTGTGGTCCATTCCTAGTGGTTACTAAATGCCATCTTCCCAACAATCGGCTGCTTTCAGCTTTCTCTGAGCTTAGGAGAAGTTAAAAGAATTTTGTATTGATTTCTGGACTGTGTGAAGTAGTATCCGAAAATCAGTAGGTTGGGTTAAAACTGCTTTATGAAAATATTATTTAAAATAATATTTAATATTATTATAGTAATCATTATAATATTATGAAATATTATCCAAAGGATTTGGATTTGATCTGTGAAAGATAGTTAGCTGAGTTTTTTTTTCCTTACTTACATAAATGATGGGGTGCAGCCCAGAGCACAGTGGAAATAGTACATTTTGAGTGCCTGTGTTGTAACCTGCTGACAGTGCATGTCTCAAACTCTTGCAATAGAGGCAGGTAAGATACTGGTGATCTCCTTGAAACTTGTGGCCAAGTTTACTGCTGTGACATTCTTCCTTTTAGAAGAAACTCATGCTGTGGGAGAGGCTCTCACTGCAGATGAGACAAGTCTTTGCTGAAGCTCTGCTTAGATTTGAGAACTTACTCAGACAGCAAAGATTGTATGCAGTTGAACCAGAGCATATTATGAACGTCTCTACTGTTTAAGAGTGGCTGTGCTGTCAAACTTCAGGGATTATATACTGGAACTACCTGCACAGAGGAAGACATGGGACAGTAGTAAAGCACTGATAAGGAGTTCAAGGTTAAAGCTGTTACAAGCAACTCATAGGCTTTAAGCTATTAGAACGTGCTATAACACTGAACACTTTACAGGATTTCTAATGTTTTTCATTTTCAGTTTTGGGAGAGAGGTATAGTTAACTTCTGCCATAAAGAGCTAATGGGTTTCTAAGACATGAATGGATATTGCTTTGTATTTGCCATATATTGTGATACTGTCACAGGCTTCTTAGGATAATGGTTCTAAGCATGTGGTACATTGGGATTGTAAGCGGAGTTCTAATTTAGCCTATCAAACTCCACCCCCTTCCTTCAGGCCTGGAAAGAGAACAGCTAGAACATCTGTAGAGTGTTTCTGATACGCGGTACAAAATTCGTTTAGATTAGAAAATTCCTGTAATTAAGTATGGTTTGACTGTGAGAAGTTGGAAAGTTGTGTCTTAACATCTGTTCCATTTGTGCAGAATACTATGCAAGTCAAATTTTCTTCTCCAAATACGTCTTCCTGAAAGCTCCATCTGGAGAAAACAATTTCCTTGCTGCATCTGTCTTTTTCACACCGTTCTCTGTGCAACTCTGTCACCTGCAGCTCCTTCCAGTTAATTTTTGGACATCCCTTTCTTTAGTCCTGTCTTTAGCTTCACTTTGCCATTGTTAACCTACTGTATCCCTACCAAAAAGAAACTCGATCTCAGTTGGTAATATACAATTTCTCATGATTAATTGCAGGATACTGTGTTCACCTCTGTTTAGAGATCACTGTTACGATTTATGGCATGTGCAGCAAATGGCTACGTGCCTTAGATCAGTGATCTTTAAACGCAGCATGCACATCTCTAGTGCAAGCAAGGCATTTGTAACATGGTGTCCAAAGGAAATAATCCATCTAGTTGCCCCTCTCTTAAAGGGCAGCAGTTTTTGTAGCTAATTAGGCTCTCATCTACATGTGAGGCAGAGTTTGCTGACCTAGCGTGAGCTGGCAGTGATGCTGAAGGTACTCCACTCCCCCTTCTCTTAGAGGGGTTTGGTTTAATCAGAAACAGGGAGTCCCTGATGATGCAAGAGAGAGACAAGGGAGGTGAAACTCAGCAGGTGGATCTGTTGCACCTTCCGTGTTACCAGTAGTTGTGCACAGTATTTTAAGTCTGGCATATCTTGTAAGTTTGTCTGTAATGAGAAATTGTTCTGGACTGTCTACCAAAGCTAGGATCGGAGTTCCGAAATCCTTCATACTTAAGGTTAAGAACAGTTTCTGTGGGGAAGGCCCATTGGGAGATGGGAGGAGGGAGAAGAAAAGCTGGGTGGGGGAGAACTTGGCAGTTGAGTCTGTGATAATGCTAGTGGTCTGGGACCATATAAACAAAACCTTCTTTTGTTGTTTTCCTTCTTGCAGATGACTTGTTTAAGGTTCACAAACTTAAGCCAAATCTGAAGTGGAGACAGGCTTTTGACAACTACTTAAAAACAATGCCTCCTTACTACATACTGGTATGTTCCTTTTCTCATTTTGTGCTCCTAGGTATAATAATGGCTTATGTGACCAGAATCCTGTGCACCATACCTCTTCCTAGTAAATTTTGTTGACGTAATTACAGGTGAAATTTTAGGTATTAAACATTTTGTTTTGCAGAGGTATTTAGATCAGGTCAAACGTTTTTAAAATAAATCAATTTCTTGCAATGTTGAGCATTAGTAACAATATCAATGTAATTGAATGCATTTTCAGATCACTGTATACAAATGAGCTTTGATCTAATATGCTATAGATTGCAACCAAATTTGGCATTGTTTTTCTAACTTGGTAAGGAAAGTGCAGATTTGTTTGTTCATTAATGTAACTGCTAGATCTGATAACTGCTGATACTAAGATACTGGCTGGGCCAGATAAAGGGTGGTGGGAGGAACCATGTCACCTTTTATACGTAGCTTGGACAATGCACCTCAATACGGACTTGCATCATCCCGGCTATTCTGGTACTGAGCCTCTGTGGAAATGGCACCATGCCGTGTGGTGTCTTGGTAATGTGGCATAATGTCCATTGCAAGCTAGTTAGACTACCAAACTCATGTCACCTGTTATCTGAATAGACTTGAATTTTAGTTGCCAAAAGTGGAAAAGCTAGAGCACTAATCCATGTGCCTTAGCTTCCTGTAATTGATCTTATACAATTCTTGTTTAAAGACTTACTCTCTTACTATTGTGTATTTTGTTTTCCTTATAGCCATTAAAGAAAGCCCTAAGGATGATGGGAGCTCCAAATCTGATATCAGATAATTTAGATTGTGGACTTAGTTACAGTGTTATCTCTTACCTTAAAAAACTCAGCCAACAGGTAGTATTGATAAAACCTTTGCAATTAGAAGTGCGTTGATTATTTAGTTTGTGATAATCTTATTATAACACAGTTAATCCCTGTGGGAGTTCATATGGGTGTTCAGCATACACTGTAATCGAGGACTGGGTGAGCGTTTCCACCACAAACACGGATGAACTCAGAGTGACTCTGTAGCCAGTGACTGTGCCTTCTGTAAGTGGTGGAGGGGAGTGAGGAGGCCTCCTCAGCTGCATTTTAAGTGTCTGCTAGACCTTTGCATTCCAAAGATTATCACTGATTGGATTTATGACTGCTCTTGCATCATTCATCAGAGCTGAAGTCAGAGGCTTGCTCTCAGTTCCACATTTGTTCCATGGACGCCTTAGCAGTGTGTACATTGCAAACAGTGGACATGCCCGTCCATGGCGAGTAAGATCATAATGAACATTTTATATCTGAGCTTCCTGTTTCCTTCAGGTCAGATCCATTATGTGTGTTGTGTCACCTGATGAAAAATAGTCTTATGGATCTTTCTCTTTTTGTCAGTAATGCCCTTTTGGGTGTAACTGTCTGAAAGCCGTGCCTCCTTAGCACGAATGGTTCTTGCAACAGTAGTTTAATGTCTAGAAGGCAGTTGCATAGCAGTGCAACCCTTAGAAATCACAAAGAAAAGATCCTCCGCCTTAAAGAATGCACAAAATATGTTCCAAAATCCTCTGAATGACCGAGCATCTATTAGGCATAAAATGTGTTATTTTGCTAATGTAATGACACACAAATTCTATTATTAATCTGCAATATGGAGTTGGAATGGTTTGAAATGACTGCTGTGGTTTTCACAGACACTGTCAGGACATGAAACAGTTTAAATGTGTTGCATGCATTATAGGCTCTTACATAGGGCCAAGCGATTCCTGAACTCTGATGTGTTTCATCTGTCCTTAAAATTCAGAGTTTCCCATAAACAGTGAAACAAATCCTACAGAGGATGAGATCTGGGGGAAGTGGGTTGAGATCACCATGCTTAGTACAGTACAGTCATCTGTAGCTGTAATAAGAAAACTTTGTTGATTGGAGGATTTACATGTTTTCAGAAGCTTAACATGAAGCAAATACCTGTAGGTTTAACTACTGTTCTCCCTTATCTTGATGCAAGCCTACTACAAACCTTAGTTATTAGGTTGTATCAAAATGAAATCCGAAATACTGTTTTAAACAGAACTTGACATTAACCTGAGGCATCCCACCTCCAGAGAGTTTTTTGTTTTTCCCTTTTAAAAGTGATTTTTCAGGAGCACAAAAAGAAAGTCACAGACTTGCAGCAAAATCAGGGACATTCAGAACCACCTACTGGCATGTAAATTTAGATAAACTGGCTAAATATTTTTTTTCTCTATGCTAGCGCAGTAGGAGTTTATTCTAAACCAGATCTAATATGTGTCCTCCAGTATGTCCCTGGGTGTAGGTAGTTCTCCCATTTGTTGAGTGGTTGGGAACCAAATTGTGGTTTTATTCTGTTGATGTTTTATACTGGCAGTCTGCAATGCTTGCTCATTCTTTAACTCGTGATGTGATTCCATTTTAGACAAAAATAGAGTCGGAACGGATAATAGGTTCAGTGGGTAAGAAAGTTCCACAAGAAATTGGAATAAAAGTGAAAAATCATTCCAGTGGCCTCTCCTTGGTGCACAGTAGGGATTTTAAGCAACTGCTTCAAGGTATCACTGGGGAATCTCCTCTGAGACTGGCGGAAATGAATGTTAAAGAATTTGCTGGCTTCCACATAGGACTCTTAAACAAGGTAAACGGCTTGGTGTTCTGAATGATTAAGCAGTTGGTTTGTTTGAAATGAGTAATTTTTATGGTCTTAACACAGGAGAAGGAATTGAGGACTTTTGCTGAATTTTGAAAAATGCATCATTGACATAAGTAGTGACTAGAGGAAATGCCATTTTTTGCCCGTGCTTTTGGGACATAATTGAAAATCCCAGTCTTAAGCAAAGATTACTGTGTTGGAAGTGACAATCTCTGCACAAGGCAGCTAGTGCTGTCAGTCCAGAAATGAATGCTATTAGTTTTGCTAAAACTGAAAGCACTGTTGAAAAAAAATTGAGTCTTCCGTATCTGATGGTGAAGATCTGAAGTTGCTTTAGAATAATTTTTTTTAGTAGTTGATGTTGTTACAGTTCATAGAGAAATTCCTCTGTGCGTGAGCACTGATGGGTTAACTGAAGGTTATCTGTTTTATTATAAAACTAGGATTTGAAGCCACAGGCATTCAGGAATGCATACGATATTCCTCGGCGCAGCCTTCTAGATCAGCTAACCAGGATGAGAACCAATCTTCTGAAAACACACAGGCACATCGTGGGGCAGGATGAAGGTATGCTGCCACTGTTACTCATTAACGGTTTGGAAGAGAGCAAAATGATTTAATTGACTGAAGTGGAACTTTCTGTCCTGCATGTGGGAAGGAAGTGGACCTTGCATCTTTTATTGAGTCAATCATTATCTTTTGCTAGACTCTGAAAGGGAAAGAATGAAACATTTGCCTTCTGGCGGGAAATATGTTGTGCTTGCTTTGAGTTTTAAAAAGCAATGTTGTGGAAGAAATTTCCCATGCAGTAAATTGCAGTAAACCTGTTTGTATACAAAGAGGGAGACGTGTTTCACTTCACCCTTGTTAGTTGAGTGCTGGTGGTCTAAATTTGCAGTTTAAAATAGAGATTGAACTTGCTTATTTTTCGTTCTTTTGTCAGTTAAACGTAACTCTTACAAACCTTGTTTCTGAAATTGTAGTCTTGTACTTTTCTACTTCTTAAACATTGACGCTCGCAGTTGAAGTGTGTGAGGCTCTTCCTTAGTTTTAAGGCCGACTACATTAAGATGTCTTGTTGTGCTGCAGACTGCCTTCACAGTGTTCCTGTTGCTCAAATGGGGAATTACCAGGAATACTTGAAAATGATGCCTTCACCCCTTCGAGAGATTGATCCAGATCAACCAAAAAGGCTTCATACATTTGGCAATCCATTCAAGCAGGATAAGAAGGTAGGATGAATCTGTTATCTGCTGTATTGTTATTTGAAAGCCACATGCATTGTCGCAGAGGGAATTAATCTAGGAATTGATAAAGCAGTATATGTGTTTTCTTACTTGTTTTATATACATGTATATGTATTTTTTTTCAGGGTATGATGATAGATGAAGCAGATGAATTTGTTGCTGGGCCTCAGAATAAGATTAAGCGTCCTGGAGAGCCAAATACTCCAGCATCTCTAAAGAGAAGGCGTAGCATGTCACCACTGTTGAGAAGGCCACAGTCACCACCAGTTGTAACAAATCATGTTGGTGGGAAAGGGCCGCCGTGTGCTTCTGGATCCCTGGCACATGTGAACCTCAAAGGTGTACCAACAAATAAAGGTATGTTGAGTTGTAGTACAAATCTGAAGTGGAAAGTCTATGCAAAATAGATTAAAAAAAAAACCAAACCAGCAAACTCTCTGTGATTTCTAGGCTAATAGGCTAATTTTAATGATGATTAAGATAGGATTTCTTTTGTTGTAGCTAAGCAGGCTATTCTTGGAGTTAATGAAGTCCTGAATGAACAATAATTTGATGAAATATTTTTAAAAAGTTCTGAAACCTTTCGCCAAGGTGGTTTGGAGTTAGCGAGCCTTTCATTTTAGCTTTTAGTTCTCATTTGTGTATTCTGCAGTGGGGAAAGGAGAGGTCAGGAAGGAAAGGAAAAACAAATACAGTTATGTTTACATACCTATTGCAGCAGAGTCAAGAGAATACTCTTAGTTGTTGAGCTAGGGAAGGGAATACTTGAACTTTACTGTCAGAGTGACGGAGCACTGGCTGCCCTGGGAAGTTGTGGAGTGTCCTTCTGTGGAGACATTCAAGACCTGTCTGGACACTGAGCTGTGCCACCTGCTGTGGCTGCATCAGCTGTGGGATTGGACTCTGTCATCTCCAGAGCTCCCTTCCACCCCTACAGTTCTGTGATTCTGTGATTTTTAGTTTACTCAGAAGTCATAGCACTGCAATAGGAATTCAGAAAACGATGTCTTTGTGACAATTCTATCGGATGGTTGCTATCCTAAGGGATATTTTCATTTGATTGCCTTGATTATTGGATAAAACTTCTGAAGAGAATTACTCAGCACTCTC